TTATGATATAAGTATTATTTTAGGTTTAAAATACATCATAGAGTTTCATAATATTTTTATGATTAAAGGCTTTAAGTGCATTGATTTCATTTTTTAAGAGCTGGGAATGAATTGATTGTTTAACCATCTTCATATCAATAACCTCAATTTTAAGTAATTATGTTACTTTAACTGCCACATTTTCTGCCGTGTTTTCATCTCTTCCTTTATATACTCTACTACTAAATCCTCTTCCTATTTCTTCATTAATGGCATAGGAATAGTGATCAATTGCTTTCCTTGTTTCACTTCCTGCTTTATTATGAACTGATTTATATCACAAAATAATTACATTAAGTTCTATAAGCAGACTAAGTAGTGGCATAAGATGGCAAATGAGGGCGGGTTTAGAACATTATTTGAAAATAATTAAATTTCCTTATTAACGATTTTCTAAATAAATATAATCGAATTAATTATTATAAAAATACTATCCATATTTAAATCTGAAAATTAGAATAGAAATATTGTAAAAATCATTTTCATTAGAAGTAATCAACTTTTGTTTTTTTAAATGACTTTTTATTAAATAATCCTTAAGTATTAATTTCTTCATTTTTAATATTTTTTTATTGCATTTATGGTAAAATATCTCCTAATTCAACATCTTTGTCTGCCAATTCTATTAATTTTTATTATAATATTCTATTTTTATCTTTTCCTATTTATCCAAATACTAAGACTTCTTTAACAAATTCTTATTAATTTTTGATTGTGCCTTCTTTAATATCTTTATCAATTTTTTATGCTAATTATTCTTCATGATTTAATTCTGCTTCACCTTCTTCTGACTCAGAAGTTTCTACCTTAAATTTATTTAAAAATGTGTCTTCAGTTTTAACAACTTCCCAATTACCAACCTTTACTACTAATTCTTTATCTACATTTTCAACAGGATTCTATTGATATTCTTCCCAAGCTTCTTCTTCATAATCTTCTAACATCAATCCAATAGGTTTTTCATAATTAATTTTTCCTGTAATTGTATTTCTAAATCTTAATTTTCCAGTATCATCTTCTTTTTCCAATATCCATACCTTTCCTTCTGCAAAGAATCCCAATTAATCTGCTACTTTTGATTATTATTATTAATTTTCTCCTGTATATTCATTTTCAACAGCTTAATGATAATTATGCTCCTCTTTTTTTTAATTCTTATTTTTATATCCTTTAGATGTCTCTGGTATTGAATCATAAGCTTTATTTTATTATTTATGTTCAATTCTTGCCTTCTTGTTTAAATCTCTTAAATGATATTCCTTATTTTTTTTGTGTTTAGCAGTATTCTCATGATCTTGAATAGCAGCTCTAGTATAAGGTATTAACATCTTGCAAACTTCACACCATTTCTTTCTTTCATTCATTATTTATCAAAATTTATTTATACTTATTATTATAATAATCGTTTTTTGCAATATTATAACAATGCCTTAACTCTTTTATTAGATTAGGCTATCACTTGTCATATTGATACTATTATCCAATGTCCTTGCCTTTGCTTAATAACAAAATACTATTTCATTTGATGAAGCAACAAACAATTATAGTTTCCTTCAATTAGATAATGAAAAGCAATAAGGGACTATTATAAAACCTTTAATAGATCCCAAATCATATAAATATATTGAATTGGAAAACAAATTAAAAGTATTGCTTATACATGATCCAAACTCAGAAATTGCTTCTGCAGCCCTGGATGTGTAAACTGGATCTTGGAATGAACCAAATGAATATCCTGGTTTAGCTCATTTTTGTGAACATATGTTGTTTGTTGGCTCTGTAAAATATCCTAGACCTGATTATTTCGATGAATTATTGGCAAAAGGAGCTGGACATTCTAATGCTTATACTGATGCTACCAATACTAATTATTATTTTGAAATTACATCACAATATTTAGATAAAGCTTTAGATACATTTGCTCATTTTTTTATTGATCCTCTATTTAATTAAGATTTAATAGAAAGAGAAAAAAATGCAGTGAATTCAGAATATGAAATAGATGTATCTTCAGAAGATTGGAAAATATAAAATTTATTTACATTGTTTGCTGATCCTTAACATCCTGCAAGTAGATTCAGTCTAGGAAATAATGAAGTTTTTAAAAAGAAGGGAATTGAAACTGCATTAAAATCCTTTTTCGAATAAAATTATTCATCAAATATAATGAGTTTGGTTATATAGAGCAGAATTAATTTGTAAGAAATGGAGCGATTAATTAAACCTTTTAATCGTATAAAGAATTTAAATTTATAACCTCCACAATTTTCATCATTTCCTTATTAATTTGGATTTCTATGCAAATATAAAACTGAAAAAGATCAATTAACATTAAATTGGTAACTTAAAGGAAGAGAGAAGTACTCTCATTAAAAACCAATTGAATTTCTAGATTATATCATTTAAAATGGAAATCTTATTGATTTTATGAAAGAGTAAAATTTAATTATTTCACTTTCCTCTGAAGTTTTTATGGAAGAGTCTTCTTTTACAAATTACATGATGGAGATTGTTTTAACTGAGAAATCTTAAGAGAATGAGGAAGTTGTTGCTGAAATTACTAAAATTATATTAAATTACATCTAAAAATTAGAAGTATGGTTATCAGATGATGAATACATAAATTAATTATTTAAAGAACAAAGCAAGATTTCTAAATTAAATTTCAACTATTTAACTGAATAATTAGATACTTCAACTATGGCTAGAATTTTAAACAGATAGAAATCAAAAGAAGTATTATCCTCAGAATTCATTATTGATACTTTAGATAAGGAATTAATATTAGATTATATTGGGTAATTAAAGAATACATAAAACTTAATCATATTGATAGGCAATCATCAATATTCTTATACTAATGAAAAAGCAGATGATATCAAGAGTAATAAATAATTTTTATAGAATAAATTATTACATGAAAAGAGTAATTTATATAGACTTGTATATTCAAAATAGAAATTTGATTAGCATTTTATTAATTTTATATCTAAATAGGATGAAAAACTATAAGAAGTGTTTGAAAAACCCTAATAAAATGAATTTATTCCAAATAATGTGGAATTAATTTCATTATGTGAATCATCAGAATCTAAATTACCTAAAATAGTTCATTCTGATAAATTAAAATCTTTAGATTAATAAAGTAAATTAAATTTATTTTTGATGGCTGGTTAAGATCTTAATTAATATAGTAAAGAGTAATGTTCATTAGAAGAACATAAATACTAAAAATAAAATCATTATCCAATTTTACTTAACAAAGAATAGGAAGAATGGTGGAAGAGTTAAACTTCTTATAAATTACCTTTTATTTTTGGAGCTATATAAATGAAATATTAAAAAACTTTAAGTTTAAGACAATTTACATCATTAAGACTTTATAATTTTATGGCAGATGAAATAATATAAAAGGAATTAAAATTACCTTTATCATCTGGATACTCTTATGAATTAGATATGGACAAAAAGACTTAAATAAAGGTTTATGGATTCAGTGAACATGTAAGAAATTTATTTAAGAAACTATGTTCATGTTTAAATCCATTTAGAGATAAATCCAAAAGTTTCCTTGAGCTTAATGAATCCAAAAGATTTGAAATAGCCAAATAATCATTATTATTGTCAATTAAGAATATGTATTAAGATAATTTATTTGAATAAGCAATTTAAATTTATTTGCCTTAGATATTATAAAAAGATTCTCATAATCCTGCTAAAGTGATAGAGTAGATTAATTAAATTACATAATAAGAAATGCTTTAAGATGTTAGAGACATTATGAATAATGTATAATATTCAAGTTTGTTTATTGGAAATATTGATTAAACAGAAGCATCCAAAATATCCAATGAAGTTCAATCATGTACTAAGAATAAAGAATCATCATCAACTTAGGATAATCATTAAGATAAGGTAGCAATCATAAATTTAAAAGGAAAAAACCTTATTGATACTAAATTCATAGAATCAGATAATGATGATGATATTAATGGTGTAACTTTGAATTATTATTAAATTGGATAAAGAAAGTAAATGAATTAGGCATTTATGAAATTATTAGAACCAATTCTAAATTAATAAGCCTATAATTACTTACGTACTGATTTATAATTAGGGTATGTTGTAGCAGTTGAATTTAAAACAACAGCCTGTGTTGATGGAGCTTTGATTTTAGTTTAAGGTAGTACAGAAATACCAATGAAAGTGAATCAAATAATTGATGATTTCTTAGAATAATTTTCAATCTATTTAGAGTAAATGAATAATAGAGAATTTCAACATCTAAAACATGGAGTAATTACTGAATTAAAAGAAAATCCTTAAAGTTTGAGTGAAGAAGGTGATCGTCTATGGAAGTATATTAGTGCTGGAACTATAGAATTTGAAGATAGATAAGTTGCTATGGAAGAAATAAGAAAAATATCAAAACAAGAATTAATTGAATTTTATAAAAATTCTTTTATAAACAGCAAATCAAAATTAAGTTTACAATTATATGGGTATTTATTAAAATTATACTTTTTAGATAAGGAATGGTAACATAAATGATGAACTTAGAGACCTAGTCTGAATTTAATGAATTTATTTCTAATACAAAACCTAAAGAAGCATAATTGTTTGATCCCCTTACAGCATCATATTATCAGTGTGAATTTGAAGCTACTTAAATTTGAGTAATTTGATGTTTACAATAAAATTTAATCTACTCACAATTTTTCCTAATTATTATTAATTTAATAGTATTAATCAAATAATTATCAAATAAAATTATTGTTAATTTATACAAAATAATAATATATCATCTGATATTTTTTTATAGAATATTCAGTTTATTTGGTTGATATTAATTAAAGAAATCGTTTTTATTAGTGTTTAACTTATATTAATTTATTTATGCTCATCATATTTAAACAGAGTTTTAATGATATCAAATTATTCAATTAATAATCAAAATTATTATGGATTAGTTTCTTAGTATAAAGCATAGCGCTAGGTCATCATAATTTCGATCATCTCCATGTTCAAAATAATCTTTCTAAAGTGAAGATGATAGAGATACAGCATTATCATTTGATTTCACTCCAAAACCCAAGCCAAAACCTTTATAAGGATTAACTCCTATGTCTTCCCCATTTGAAAATGAGGATAATGATAAAGGCAGTTAAAAAGAAGAATCAGTCTCAAAACCATTTAGTAATAACTTTTGATTGAATTTTAGTTCCTAAACTTTCACGCTTTAGTACTTAAAGAGTAATAACAATGAATGATGGAGATAAAGATGAAGAACCAGAAGGAATAGAAAAAGAAGTTAAATTATGTTCAAATATCTAATTATAAATACCTGATGAACAAACGAAAACTATTGAAGAACATCTTAAAAATTTTGAAGAGAAAACAAAACTTAACCCAAAGTTAAAATAAATGAAATCTAAACCTATGTCAATGAGAAATTTTTAGAAAGTTGGAGAATCTAAAGAAGATAAGTTATTGGAACATCCATTTCGTCATTTGATATTCAGCCCTAAAATAGATGAGTTAGTTTTAGAAAAACATTTATATATAACCTAAAGAGGACTAATTTATTCAAGAAAATGTCTAAAAGGGCCTTCAGAACAATTTATAGAAAAGAAAAAAGTAATTTTAAATAAAATCAACCCCAATAAAATTAATACAATATTCCTTGATCTTGACGAAACGTTGGTTCATGCTTGTAATTCTAGAGAGACACCTACCGTTAGGTTGAAATAATAAAATGAAGATGGATCTGAAATAGAGGTACATATATAAGTTATTGTAGGTTGGAATAAATATAAGACCATACGCTACCTACTTTTTACAAGAATTAGCTTAATATTATACAATCTATATTTATACAGCTTCATCATAATAATATGCTTAAACAATTGTGAATTATCTTGATCCTCTTAAATAATATATAAGTGGAATCTTATCTAGATCTAATTGTATGGAAACAAAAAATGGATTTTTTATAAAAGACTTAAGAATCGTTAAGGATTTAGATTTAAATAGAACTTTAATAATAGACAACCTTGTTCATTCTTTCGGTTTACAGGTTGAAAATGGAATCCCTATTTTAGAATGGTATGATAATTAGGAAGATTTGGAACTAAAATATTTATTAGAATATTTGATAGAAGCTTCTGAATAATAAAATTTGAAGGAATTCAACTTAACTCATTTATAATTAGATTATCTAATCGATTACAACATTAAGTAATGAAATTTATATCTTCCATTATAAACCTTCAAACTCAATATACATATATATATATATATATTTATGAATCATCTAAATTTATACAAATGTGATAATTATTTAGATTCTCCTTATGTTCTTAATTCAATTTCTTCTATTTTGAAATCTTTAATAGAGTTATCCTATGATAAATTTGGAACATACTTGAGTGATAAAATCATATGGGATGACTTCATCTTTTGTGTTAAATATATAGATCATTCCCTGATCTTTTTTTGCTGAGAATATTAAATGACCTTAATCAAAGAGACTTTAAGTTTATAAATTTGTAGGTTGATTAATTTAGAGAATGAAATATCTCTTAGGAGTTACTACGGTCATTCGAAATAAAGGAACAAACAAATTCTTCATATTTAAATTTAATTAGTTTTTTATAAGGTAAACATGACACATGTAGATATATTTGAATATGAATTTGAAACAATGATTGATATGTTATAGGCTATTTTTATATGATTATAATAATAAAGGATTAGAAATTTTAAAATAAAATGAATGAAAGAATGATTTCAAAAAAATTTTTAATCTTTTATATTTTTTTAAATAAAAATGGGCAGAAGACCAGCAAGATGCTATAGAGTTAGTAATGGTAAACCATTCCCCAAGTCCAGATATAACAGAGGTGTTCCAGATGCTAAAATTAAGATCTATGATGTAGGAAAAAAGAAGGCTAATGTTGAGGAATTCCCAGTACTTAATAATTAATATGAATTAGGCTGTTATTCACATTGTTTCAGATGAAAAGGAATAAATTTCATCAGAAGCCTTAGAAGCATGCAGAGTTGCCATCAATAAATACATGATTAAGAAAGTCGGAAAAGATGCATTCCATCTTAGATGCAGAGTTCATCCATGGCACGTACTCAGAATCAATAAAATGCTTTCATGTGCTGGTGCAGATAGACTGTAAACTGGTATGAGAGGAGCCTTTGGTAAACCAAATGGTTTATGTGCCAGAGTTAAAATTGGTAGCATTCTCTACTCTTTGAGATGCAAAGATGCTTCAATTAATCATGCTATGGAAGCATTGAGAAGAGGAAAGAATAAGTTCCCAGGAAGATAAAAGATTGTTGTATCTGCTAAATGGGGTTTCACTAACTATTTCAGATCTGACTATCTCAAATATAAAGCTAATGTATTTAAATAATATAATATTTTAGGATGAATTATAATACTACGGTGTTCACGTTTAAAAATTGAGATAACATGGTCCATTGGAAAAATTAAAGATTTTCTAAGCCCTAAGAAAATGATTTGTTGAAATAATCATATAATATAAATATAGTAAATTATTTTATTTATTTAATGTCCTTTTTGCAATATCAAAATCCAAATATTGCAAAAAGTAATAAGGATGTTAATATTAATTAAGAAAACTCAGGATTATTTTCAATGATTACTTATCTGGATCTGAAAATTATTTTACTACCACTTAAATTGGCCACTGCTAATCTAGGAATAGTGCCTTCATCAAGAAATCTTCTCCTTCTATTATTTGCTACATTTGGATTTATGATTTTAGCTGTTACAGCAAAACCATTATTCTATTCTCCTTTAATAGCTAGTTTTACAGTGTATATTATGTAACCTTCACCTACAACAGTCTCCAAAATAGGTAATTCTACTAGAGTTCCTTTTCCTTATAATTTTACATAACCTTTTTCTAATTTCCAATTCTTAAGATTTTCATTTAAAATTGTCAATCTCACTTTGAATCTTTAATTAAGAACTAAAGTTATTTTATCTGTTGTCCATTTACAATCATTTGCATTTTCACAATAATCAATTTAAGATTCTATAGAAATAGCCAATGCAGGTGGATTAATAATTTTAGGCGGTTCTTACAAACTTGTAATACTTGAATTTGAATAATCAATAGTAGCAATCCATGATTTTTCATACATAATCTGCTCATTATAATAAATATTAAAATAGAAAGAGCATGTATAAATATTGGAATTTTAACTTTAATTGCAGTTGGCATTTTTAATATTTTATTAATCTAAGACTAATTTGGCAGTTGATGCTGACTCATATTTGAAATCTAATTCTGTAAATTTACTGTCATCCATATCTAAGGTTACCCATTAAGCTGGCCAACATCCTTGAAAATCATAACCTGGTATATTAATTGTAGCTGAATAAGTAGTTGCAGTCATACTCTCTACCAAGGAATCTTTTTCATAAGGGATAGACTATTCTAAACTATATCCACAATCTTCTTTATAACATTTACCGTCAAGCCATCTGTAAGGATTAGAACAATTTGTGCAATCATAAAAAGATGTGCATTTATCACATTTGGCTGTGCAATTATTATTATAATACACAACTATTTTAGTAATATAATATGCTCCTTCCTCATCTTTATTATCATTTATGAAATCTTAAAATATTAAAGACATTTAAGTTTAATTTTTATCTATTAATGTAGATGATGGAACACTATATCTAATCTAAAAATATACATATTAAAATTACTGTTTTCCAATCATTAAGAAGATCTTATATCTAAACAGATTAATCTTTTGGACATAAGTATGCTGGATTATTGTTATCTGTTGTTTAATTAAAAAAGTCTCCACCATACTTATACCCTGAAGCGAACCAACAATATCCACTTTTCATTTCATTAGTATAACCAACAAATAATCCAGAATTAGATCCTCTATTTTAGGTGGATTTTGTTAAATATTTAAATTCTATTGTAACATTTTATTCCATTTCAATTTGAAAAGGAAATGAGTTAAGTCCACTTCCATAACTCTTCTTTATGATATTAACACAATAGTCATTGATTGTACCAGGACAAGGAACAATTTTAGACACATTATTGTTTTCCCAAATTGTGTTATTAATAGAGCCACCTGAAAAATCATCTTAAAAAATAATATGTTGAGCATATGATAATTAGGTTAGGAATAGTATCAGCATTATATATGATAAGAATTAATGAAACCTAATACTTTTTATTGGTACAATTTAAACCACAAGTTTAAAATTACATTTATTCTATTTGAAGTATTTATTTAATCTTTTAATTCAGTATCGATAAACTTTTTAATTACAAAATGTCCCTAATAAATTTAATTCATATTTTGAACAAAAATCCCTAATAAAATTGGAACATTCAATTATTATATAGAAATTATCTGTTTTAATCATTTACTCTTAATATTTGATTTCTCATTTGAAATTTTAATATATTTCACATATTCAAATTATTAAAATTTCTTTTCTTTTTATGTTGTATAAACTATAATTATCCAAAAACATATCATCAGCAAACTTTATTAAATATATCTCTGAGTTTGAATTAACAGTTAATCAAAATCCAATTTTATTTTTTCCTTTTGGTATATTAATACTTCTCTATACTAGCCTAAAATAAACTAAGTTAAGCTATAAGTAAAAAATCAAAGAGGAACTAATAAATTAGGAATTCCATTCAATCCATTTTATTTTATAAATTATAAATATTTATTAATAAAGTAAAATTTTAATTGAAAAGAGTCCCTTATATTATTGAGTATCTATTACTAAAGAACCACAATATAATTAAATATATAGAGAGAGACACAATATTATTCAATAATCAAAATATTCTTAAAGCAGATGAATATTCAATATCAATTAAATGCTGATTAAAATTTCTAGATCAGATCCTAATTTAAAGATTTAGGATAGATTTTTGAAATATAAAGATCATAATTGTATTTAAACTAAACTAAAATTTTAAATCAATAATCATAAATTAATTCATATATCTAATACTCAAAAATTATTGAAAAGTCTCTTTGATTTAGACAATATATGAACAAATTTTTTTTATATATAATAATTACTTCTTAAAATGAATATAAAACAAGATTATTGAATTTTTCTTTTTAAATTTAATAGAATACATAAAGATTTAAAATATTAAATTGAGTAACATTGCAATTCTATGGAAATTATCATCAATACAATTCCAATATTCATAAAATGATTATAATATTGTTGTCAAATCATATATGATGGATTTTACGATTAATTCCATCTTCTTTGAATCTTACTTATTTTTTCAAAGGAGAATTACTTTCTATATCTGAATCTTTTCTTTTTAAAATTGAAGTAGGAGTGTAAGTTCTCAATTTAGTTGGACTATAACACTCAACTCCAATGATAAAATTATGATCATCTCGGATATCACTAATTTTTCTTCTAATTAATTTCTGTTTTTCTTTTTATACAGGTGCATCTGAATATTTTCTCTTTGGTTTCAATTCTTACTATTTATTTACTTATTTAGAATGGTTCTTGCTTTTTTTTGTTTTGATTTCAACCTTTGCAGAACTATAAATAGGTGAATGAGAATGACACTTTATTTATTGTTTTGCATAAGGACTTTGGCTTTAGATTTTAGAATTCTAAGCATGATTCTATTTCTATTTACATTTAAGGGAAGATTTTAATTCGATAAGAGGCTATTGTTTATTCTTCTGTTAGCAAATTGATTTACTTTCTATTTCACTGTCCTTTAACATATTAAATTGAGACAAAAATAGACTATCTTCAGAAGGCACTCTTACTAATGATTTAATTTCGTTATGCTTTGGAATAAAGGGTTTAGTAGGAGATTAAAGCATTGCATTAGGTATTTCCATTTAAGTTAATTAACTTGTGTTTATTAAACTATTTAATTTAGGTTTTGGTATCCCTTTCAAATTGCTTTTAGAATTTATTTAATCTAATTTAGTTTTATCGTTCATTTATTATTGATCAGAACAATAATTACCCATTTATGATTTTTTAATAATATACTTTATTAAATGTATAAACTTAAGCTTTTAAGTAAATAAACTCCTAATCATAATTAGATTAAAAATATGGATTTATAGAAGTTTTAATAAAAATTATAAACATTTATGATGAAACTGAAGGAAAGTAGTTAAAAATCATTATATTTATTTGATTATTGCAAACAATAATTTAATATAAAGAAGTTTAAAATTATTTTTAGTAAATGATTGTTGTATTTTCATTTTTGTTTACAACTTTCCTTAAATACTAAATAAATTTTGAATAATTTGAATGCTTTCTATAGATTTAGAATATATATCTAGTTCTGAGAAGCATCATAATTTAGAAATAGCAAAAATTGCCAAAAATAATAAATTTACAATTTTTTTAACATTGTAAATATTATTTGTTTAAATAATTCAGATGAAAATAATAATTTAATTTAAGTATTTCTTTCAAAATTGCATATCTTAAATAATTATATATAAGCTTTAATAAACTAAAACATAATTAACATTCTACAAAACAATATAAAAAATAAATTTTGTACAAGAAATAAATATAATTCTTAATAATGCCAAAAATTGAAAATACTACAGGAATGCCAATTAATTTGATTATAGATGAATTAAAAAGTGATGATATTAGAAAAAGAATTCATTCAGTCAAACACTTAGATTTGATTGCTAGTACTATAGGTCCAGAGAGAACTAAAAATGAATTAATCCCTTTCATTTAAGGTATGCAAAAATATCATTTAGAATTGCTTGATGATGATGATGAAGTCTTAATTGAATTAGTTGAATCTCTATCTAAGAATTTTATTGAGCTAGTTGGTGGATAAGTATAAGTTTTGCTACCTACTTTCGAAGCATTATGTAGAGTGGAAGATGCTTAAGTAAGAGAAAAAGTAATTAATACATTTCATAATATCGAGGCTGCTAATCAATTAAAGAAATGTTTTACATTGTTGCCTGATTAAAAGAAGGTTGAAGAATTATCAATGGGGATTATTAAAAGATTAAATGATAGTGATTATTATTTAGCTAAAAATGCTGTTGTAATATTGGTGCCATCAATTATTAATTAAGTATCATAGAATAATTAGAATGAATTGATTAACATCATACTAAAAATTTCCTAAGATCAAATTCCTTAAGTTAGAAAATTTTCATCTATGTATTTTTAAGTATTTTGTTACGTAATTGCAGGATTTTGTAAAACATTTTCCAATTGTAAATGAAGCCTTCATTTAAAATACATTAAATTCATTCATAAAAGATGAATAAGATTTTATTAGAATGTATATAGTTGATGCATTGATTGCCTCAAGTAAAACTGCATTTTTTTAAAAACAGTAAACCTTTGTTCTTAATATGTTTAAATAATTGGCAGAAGATCAATCATGGAGAGTAAGATTTTATTTTTGTGATAAATTAGCTGATGTATTCAAAAATATTAATATAATTAGATTGGAGATTCAGTGGGCAAAGAAAGTTATCGAAAAAATTTTTAAAATTACCATCTGAAGTTTTTATAAGATAATGAACCAGAGATGAAATCTATAGCAGCATTAAAAATAGAAAAATTATGTTCTTTTATGGACGCAGAAGAAATTATGAATAAATTAATTCCACTTTTGAAATCAATTCAATCGGATTAAAACCCATTTGTTAGAAGTATATTTTGGTTTATAAAATACCGTTAGATTCCTTAGCTTCTTCTGTATTATCATTATCACCAATTATTGGTAAGAAAAATTCAAGTGAATAAATTTTACCCATTTTCTTAACTTTATTAAAAGATTAAGATTCTGAAGTTAGAATTACATTATTCAAAAAATTAAGTTTGATCACAAGTGTATTAGGAGTTGATTCTTTATCTTAAAGTGTTATACCAGCTTTGACAGAATTAGCTTAAGATAAAAATTGGAGAATTCGAGCATCTACAATAGAAGTACTTAGCTTCTTTGCGAGAGCAATAGGTCCAGAATTTTTATCAGATAAAGTTCTTAAGTTACTTATAGATTGGCTTGGTGATAAAGTCTATGCTGTAAGATAAACAGCAATTTAATAAACTGCTTTATTGATATAAATTCTTGGTATATAATGGGCTGATAAAAATTTGTTAACTAAAATTTGGAGTTTTTAATCTATTCAAAATTATCTTCAAAGACTAACAGTACTATTTACTATAACTGTATAATCAATATTATATTATAATTTAGCAAATAGCATCTTCATTAAATAATGATTACATATAGAAAACAATTCTTCCTCTTTTATAATAAATGTCAAAGGACTCAGTTGCTAATATCAGAAGCAATGTTTGCAAGACATCTATTTTATTAGCAAAAGAGAAAGGGGGAAATGTAGTTGAGCCATTGAAAAAAGTTTTATAATCTCTTTGTGATGATTAAGATGCAGAGGTTAAATATTAGGCAAAAAGTGCATTAGAATCATTATGAATTCAATAATAATGATTAATATATTAAATAAATAATTTCATCTTTTGCAGATTTAAATATTTAGATAGAATGACAAAATATTGTTATTTTTATGTATTTAATATTGTATGATTCATTATCAATATTATTTTTGAATACTACTGCTTCCAACAGTTGATCTTGTTACAGTTCTCTTTTCAACAACTACTTCCTAATTATATTTAATATTATATATATACTTTCTTTTATTATTTCTAAAGAGCTTCTAATTCTGCTTATGCCATCATCAATTATTCTTAACATTCATTATAATCATGATTAATTTTAATGAATTTCTATTTCCAAACTTCAATTTCAGAACTTAAGAAAGTAACCTTTTCTTAAACAACTGTAGTTCCTTATTCTTCCAAATATTAAATTCTTAAATGTAAATCTTCAATTTCATGATCTTTATTTGCTAACATTTATCTTAATTTTTCAATTTCAGTTTTCAATCTTAAAATTTCTTACTCTAAATCACTTATTTAGAATCTATATTAATTAAGTTTTGAACTATATTCTTTATCATTAAGAGCTAATTAATTTCTTAGATCTTCACATTCAGTAGTTCTTTGATATAATAAACTCTTCAAATTATTTACTTCCATTTCTAATTCTCTAATTCTTGATTAAGCATCTCTACTTTCATTAGCTGCTGATCTTAATTCTAGTGAAGTAATTCTATATTTTTCTAATTCATTATCTTTTTATTATATAATTAATTTAAGAGAACTTAATTCCATTGATAATTTACTATTTGAATCTTATAAATCCTAAATTTAATCTCTTAACATAGCTAATTCTTAATCTTTACTTCTGCATTGATTCTTCCAATTTTAAAGTTCTGATTCTAATTATTTATATCTTGATTCACTAGAACTTGAACTAGTTTTTATAAGTAATAGTTCTTAATCTTTTTATTTTAATTAAGAATTCAAATTTGCATTTTACATCTATAATTCAGAAATTTATCTTCTCAAATCACTTACATCTTATTAATTACTTAATCTTAATCTATTCAATTCATTTTCTAATTATGTAATAGATTCAGTATCTTTAACAATCTTTTCTTTTTCAATTACTTTTTCAACAATCTTAGTTTCTAATTATCTAGATTCAAGTTCAGTAATAACTGATTAAAGATACTCACATTCCAATCTCCAGGGAGCTTCTATTTCTTCTCTATTTACTACTACAATTTGCATATGTAATGGTGATGCCTAACAAGGATTGCATGGCTAATAATTTAATAAATAAACTTTACATTTATAGTAGGATAGTTTGTAACTTATGCTGTCACAAAATTATTAGGAAATTGGACTCCTTATTAATTAAATGCTTAATTTCTTCCATCAAATACAAATTCTTCTTATTAAACTTATTGACTCACAGAAGGAACCTATTATAATAAATTTATCCATATTTTACTTGTTACACTCCACTTGTGTATGCAAACTACTAAGAAATAGGTCTTGTTTATTAATATTCATTTCTTAATGTCTCTTATTGATCGAGTCTTTATTAAGAAAACATTAGATATTAAATTAATAATTTTTATTTACCTTAATTTTATTTTATATTTATATTATCAATGGTGTAAATCAGTGTAATTTAAGATTCATTTTTACTTCATAAGAGTAAATTCAATTATCTAAATTCAAAATATAATAATAATTACATTAATAGATTAACAAAACAGATTAATCAAATGAATAATTTTATTTAAATATCATAAAACTATACTCAATTATTAGTAGAATCAAAAAACATTTATTTAGGTTTTCTTTAACTATGTTAGTTCTAATTATTTAGATATAAAAGTATTAAATATTATTTAATCATTACATAATTCTAGTATCTTCTAATAACTGAATTTATTTGATTAAGTCTTGCTTTTCATTTATATGCCTTTGCAACTCTTCTCGATAAGATTTTAATAAAATTGATGATCTTTAAATTATATTTTATAATTGAGAAATCGTTTATCTTTCTTTTTCTCTATTTGAAGTCATATTTAAAGAGTCAAAAGATTTTTTTTGCATTTGATCTTTAGTAGTATTTCTCATTCTGGGTTTAATACTACTTGAGGTAGTTGAATTTAAGGAAGGAGTATGATTATCTAACTTATGAATTAATTAAGTGGATAATTAGTTAGGAGTAGGTAAATAGCCTTTCAAATATTGTTATGAAAAACTATCTTAGATTTGAAGTTATTATTAAGATTTTTATTGAACTAATTTTGAATATGGACTTGATTTTAACAATTATTGTAAACCTTTCTTTATAGACTACTTTTTTTTGTTATTTTAATTAACTGTTATAGGAGCTATTAAATCTGCTTATGAATGATTTATCCTTCTGTTAAGAGTACTTTATATATTATTTCGTATCTCTGGACTGATTGTAAATTTGCGTTGATGATCTAAATATGGTTAATCTGTTATTAGTAAAGTGTTCATTGTAATTTATATATATTTTATCTTTTATTAATCCAATCAATATAATAATGATTAGATTTATAGAACTATTATATGAAAAGAGTTATTTATATTAATATATAATTAGATAGAACATATAAGATAGATATATCTCTTATATGTTGTAGATAATTGTAATATTTTAGGGAATCATCATCAAATGTTTATATCTTAACTATCAAAAGTTCAAATAATATAATATATTTTTTTAATAAAACATAATGCCTCGCTCAAGCAAAGTTTCTAACAGATCATTTTCTCATGGAAAACAAGGTTAGTTAAATGAACCAATCATTATTACATTATAAAGAGAGATTGATAATTACACTAGAAAAGTAGAAATTGAAAGAAGGTTTCATTTAATAGATGCATTATTTTAGAAAGCTTTTTAATTTAGAATAATAGCATAGATAATTATAAGAAGAAGTAAAAAACAAAGTATAATCTGTGAAAAAATTGAAAATGGATTCAATAAAAAAGGTTTTGAATAAAGATTAGGCAGAATCAAAAAGTCTATAATTTTAAATTGATTAAGTAATTCATAATAACAAATTTAGTTTGATAAAAAATTATGTAAATCTGTAGCAAATATTGACATTATGAAATCAAATATTGATATAATAAGAAAAGAACGAAATTAACTGTTATAAGCAATGAAAGAAATAGAGTAGTCTCATGAGTAAATTCATAGTAGATTAATTTCAACATAATCATAGGCTTAAAGAAAGGTTCATGATGCTTGTAATAATAATTAGAAATATTGTTAGAAATTACTTAATAATAAATGTTTGATTTAAAAACAAAAAATGAAATTGATAAAAGTGAATTTTAAGAAAAATTTGATAGACTAAAAGCTGAATTAAAAGAAAAATAAGAAAAATAAAATGAAAAAGATAAAATATCTAAAACTAATAGACTAAAAGCTACAAATTATTCTACTTTTGATACTGGAACTTTATTAAAAAGAAGATTATAAAGAATTATTGCTAATAATAAAGAAAAAGTTAAAATGATTGATACATATTAAAGAAATATGAGAATTGTAGATGAAGCATTTAATTAAATTAAAGAAGCAACTGGATTAACTGATATAGAAGAAATAAAAAATAATTTTATTAAAAGTGAAGAATAGAATTATTCATTATGGACATATGTAGATGTACTAAACTAAGAAATAGATGCTTTAGAAGATGCTAATGAAGAATTAAAAGAAAAGTGTGAAATATAATAAAAAGAAAATATTGAAAGAGAAAGAATTTTATAAGCAACCCCAGATGGTGAAAGAAAAAGAAAATAAATTTAAAGGATTATAGATTAAAAGTAAACATAAATATTAAATATTAAAGATAAAATGAGATTGATCAATTTGGTAATAAATTATCTTAGATCTAACCAATTATAGAGAATATATTATAAAAAATGATTAAGACTAAATTTAATCTTGATCCAACTAGAATTTATACATTTTAAGGTGGATTTTAATTAAATGAATCTAATATTGATTAATATTTAGGTGAAATATTTTATTTTATTATTAGCTGAATTGGAAGGTTATATAAATATGTTAGTATTATATAAATCAAATAAAAATAAAAGAGATGGATTAAATTAAAATAAATTTATAACTGGATTATTATTAGAAGAAATACCAACAAAAGAATTTAAATCAAAATAATAATTAAATTAAACATCAGTATTACCATCTTAAGGAAATGAAGAAGGTTCAGACTTTTAAAAGTTTTTAAATTATAATGAATTTCATGATATGGCTAAATTAGCCCTAAAAGAGGCTGAAGGATAAAGTATTAAATTACATTATTTAATGTAGATTTTGCATCAACAAAGAAGAATAAAAAATGATTTTTTTTCTATACAATTTATAAATATAACATATATATATGTTAACACTATTAAATATCACATCATAAGTGGTTTTTGACTGTTTTACATTTTTTCGAAATCATTTTATGTCATACTATTTGATGTATATTCAGAATTCTTTTATATAAGAAAATAATTACATTTAAGACAGATCGTGAACTATTCTATTTAATAACTGTAGTTTAAGTTACGATTTTCTATTGACTATATTATTTCTACAATGATTCATATTCTGCTTCTTTAACCATTAATTTTTCTTAACATGCATGATATGTATCATTTAATTCTTTAAACTTTTATTTCCATATTTTAGCTTCTTCCTCAAATGTTTTAACTGATTAAGTTGTTGTGATCTCTTCACTCAATTAATCTACTTGTTAATAGAGTTCATTTAATTCCATTTATAATTTTGATATTGTGTCATCTTTATCATTACATAAATCTTAGATATGTTATTTCTCAATTTTAAGCTAATTTATTTCCATTCTTAACTTTTCAATTAAATCATCCTTTGAATTCATATTTAATTATTAGCTATTTATTGTTTACTAAAGAGAATTCAATTTAAATTATAACTCAGATATTATCTATTAAGAAGCATTCTTTCCAGATTCTTATTTTATAATAAATAGTTACATGCATCTAAATTATATTAATCAGAACTTGATTTTAATTATTATTTTAATTTCATTATGATTTCATCCTTTCCATTTAAAATAGTCATATTCTATTGAAGTTCAGATTTTAATTAAAAGTTTTCCTATTTATATTTCTCTACCATTTCTTAAACTGATTTCAAATCAAATTATAAATTATTAATTGTTTATTGTAAAGTTGTAATTTTAATGTTTAATTCTGATGTCACCATATTCGAAGCACTTCTACTTTGTTCTAAAATATATTGAAATTTTATACTGCTTTCAAATTCAATTTGTTCTCTAGCATTTTATAATTATTGCTTCAATAAAGTTATTTATGTATCTCTATCTTCCAATTGAGTTTTCACTCTAAAAAGTTCAGTTTATAAATCTATAATTGTCTAACTATCATTATTGTTTGATGCTCTTAATTCATAGTTTTCTGATTAAATAATTGTTTAATTTTTTGTTTCAAGCATTTACTCTATTCCTCTCATTCTTTTACTCCACATTTCTTCAAACTTTAATAAGTCAACCACTTATATTGGATTATCAATTATTGTTTATTAATAGATTGGTTCAACATGAGGCATATACACTGGAGGATAGTACTCAACAAATGCAGGTCTTGAAAGTGAAAAGCTCTTATTAGATTTGTGAGATAAGGGACCTTGGGGAGATGAAGTGATATAATTTCTTAATGATCTTGGTCCCTCTACTCTAATTTATTATGATTATTGTAGTGTCTATTATTAAGGAGGCACAATTATATTACTTACAGATATTTGTGCATCAGCCTAAAATATAATATTTTAAGTACTTATTAATGTATTGATCTTGTCGATACTTAATTGACTCTCACTGATCTTATTGATTGGAAAGACTACTATTAAGTAACCATATTTTGTTATTTAGTTGTGTTTTGTACTTATAAGTTTTAGGACTAATTTTGCTAGTATTTAAGACTACTGTACTTAATGTTAAGAAGAGTTTAATTGCTAGTATTTGTGGAAAGCATTAGCTTATTTTGGATTAGACTTCACATCTTAGGACATCCTTGATTATCCAACATTGTATGATCCCTTTTATCTTAATGGTGAGTAATTCATCATTTATAAGGTTAAATAAATTTATTTATAAAATAAATTTCATCTCCTATCAGATTTATATTAAAACATTCAGTTTTTTCAAGGGAACTTATTAACTATCATAAAAATTAAATCTCATTTAAAATGGTAAAATATGCTAAAAAATTTATACTAAATATATACATAATGCAATAAAATTTTAATTATTCATAAAATTTCAGACTATTATTAGATAAGGAGTAATGATATTTGGCAACTTAATGATTTCTACTTCTCATAATATACTTAACATTTAAATAATAAGAAAAATTTAGAACTATTAACTTAAATTTAATTCATATATTTAAATATTATTATATGTTATCTCCTATAGAATAATAAAGACCTCCTTATAAAATAATATGATCAAATTCAAATTGTTATTTTTTTTAGGAGTTTAAGATTAATTTTAATACAAAATATTCTGGTATTCTAGAAATTACTATTTATTTCAAAATCTATATAATTTATACATAAATGTTAACAAAAGAACAAATCTTAGATAATATACTCTATAATGAAAGAATGTTAGTTATAGAAGTGTGAGAATCATATTAATAATCATTAAAATTAAAATTTTATATCTAATTTCTAAAATAAATGGCATAGCCAACTCCAAGAATTATAAAAGAGACTCAAAATTTAGGAAAAGATAAGGTTCAAGGTATTGAAGTAACTCCTGATCCTGGAAATTTCAAACATTTTTATGTAATAATTACTGGACCTCCCAATACTCCTTATGAAGGCGGGGTTTTTGATGTTGAATTATTATTACCAGATGATTACCCTATGGTATACTAATTGAATGTATTTTAGTCACCACCAAAATGTGTATTCAATACAAAGATCTATCATCCAAATATTGACAATTTAGGTAGAATTTGTTTGGATGTGTTAAAAGATAAATGGTCTCCTGCATTATAAATAAGATCAATTTTACTTTCAATATAGGTGTTACTAAGCTCACCTAATCCTGTACTATAATTCTCTATATCTTAAGGATGATCCATTAAATAATGAAGCAGCCAATTTATGGAAAGCAAATGAAGCCTAAGCATTAATGAAAGCTAAAGAATACACATTGAAATATGCAAAAAAACATTGATATGTTTGATTTATTGGAATATAAATATATATTTGATATTCTTTAATTAATTGATATCAATTTAAATATAAATATAGTTTGTAATATAAAATTATATATGAATTCAATAATATAAGTTAATTATTGGAGGAATTTCATTCATTATTAAATTTATTGAATATGAATCATTAAAATTTCCTTCAAACAGCCCTCACTAGATTTAGAATGGCTGCTATAAATGAGAAGGTAAAT